GTAATTGCCAGTCCCTGAAGATAAGCACGTAGTCCCTTTTATTTTAAGATTTTACTGTTAAACAAAAATAGCAGCAATAGGAAATGAGAAAAGTCCCAGGCCCAATTCCCTTCTTGAAGCTTTCGGGAGGTTCTTCTCCTTACAGTGGGCTTGCTTTCCTTCCAGCTTCTTTTTCCCCTGTCTCCCATTACAGAAAGTACTTGCTCTCAAGAAAGCCTCATTCCCAGCATGTATGTAGGCTTGATGATGCAGGGAGTACAGAATGGTCCACGATTTCCTGTGTCAGCCTGGGAGTGTGCAGCTCTGGGGATGTCCCGTGGGTATTGATTTGGAGACATTCAGGACCATTTCCTCAAAGCCTTGGTTTTCAAAAGTAAGCAATGCAAGGAGCAGTTTCTTACCCAGTATAAAGCCTTACTATGAGCCTTCTTTCCCCAAATTCAGCTTAAATCATAACTGTTTTGGACTTTGCCCAAGTGAGAATTCACTGATATTATTCGATTAGCAAAGATTGCTTTATGAGAAGAGAGTAATGGTGGGTTGTCTTGGTTGCTGAGAGCCTCAGGCCACGTCCACGCTGGCTTGTTTCTTCTGTAAGTTCACTTCAGATGACATCTTTTGCTTTTGGAAAACAATATCCCAGACATGAAATAAGAAACTATGAGTCACATAACAAATATAATACCAGGCTTATGCCATGGTTGCTTTTAGCGTATTGTATTTCCCTACTCATTTAATTATCTGTTTGCTACAAAAGTTGGCAGTCCTGGCTTTCCTCTCCAATGTAAACAAAATAATATTGTTTAGTTCCTTCACTACTTATTGCCATAATAGTAGAAACACTTTTTTTTTTTTTATTCAGGGTCAACTTCTATGCAGTTTTAGAATGGGAAATTTTTTCAGGGAAGCTTTTTTTTTGAACAGTTTATTTTTCCTTCCTAAATACACTTAAAAGAGATGAATGTTTATTTTGAAAGTCAACAAGCTCCTTCATTGGTAGGAAGAAAGTATTATAACTAAAGAAGAATTTCAGGGAAAGTTTTTTCTTTTTTGGTCAGTCATGACACATCTGGGTGGCTTCAGCTATGGCCAGCCAGAAATTTGATTTCTTCAGCTCATTGAGCATTGGGTGAACTCAGGGGTAGGGGCGGCTGTTAGCTGGTCAGTGCATTGTCTCCTCTGCAGCAGTCTGTGTGGGAAGGCAAATGATGATCACAAGTTTGCCTAATGAGCATGATGTCAGAGCCAAAGGGCTGGATGGTCCGAATGACATGTGTCATACAGCCCCAGGGACCAGATGTCCTCCCCACTTCAATGTTGTAGCAGAGCCGATCCCTCTGGCTCTTGGCTGGTGAAGCTGCCTCTGCTGCCGGCCCAGTGCCTGACACCGAATGTGAATAGCCTCTCTTGTTAAAAGAGAACACAAACTTCTCTAAGGTTTATACAGAGCAGAGCTCAGAAAGGCCAGACTGTGTGCAGTGACCCACTTGTTCTTCTGGACTTTCCTGCTCCTGCAGTCCTCGCCCAATGATTTTGGGTGTTCATTCACCATCTTCGGTCCCTGGAGCATGTTGGTTCTCCAAAACACTGGCCAAAGGCAAACATGAGACGTCTTTCTATTGTACTCAGCATACTATACTGAGATAGGTTGGAACAGTCAATGGATATCTTCCTAAAATTAAGAGAAAGAGAAAGGATAATCAAGCTGTACAAACCATAAAAGCATCAGGCTGATGAAGGATAGCTTTCTGTATCTGAGTGTGCTGTAAAAGTTTGACTAAGGCAATAATAGATGACCAGATTAGACAGGGACTTCATCCTCTAAAGTGATGCTTTTTCAGAGTACTGCTTTTTTTCAAAGCGTCTCTACCTTAGTCACGCAGCTATAACCAAACAGCTCATATCAGCTGGACTGACTTTCGCAGGTACCTAACCTTATTTTAACAGATTATTACACATTTCCTTCTTAGAGTTGTATCATTTCTGACAATGTCCTCAAATTCTGGGGCTGCTTCACAAAGCCCAGAATGTACTGATTGTAAAATAAGTCACAGAAACAATTACTTTTTTCTGACTTATTCAGAATAGCATTATGAAAACATTAACAAATACTCTGCTCAAGAGGAGGAGATGAACTGTTTCATCTTTGGTCAGGAGGAGCCTGCTTATGTGGCTCTGTCTTTTTAACACAGCCCCATTAGTCTGGAGCACTTCCTTTGGGTTATCAAGATTTTTAGGCTCACCTTGGACTTCATCTAGCTCAAACCTGAAATCAGTCACTTCTCTAAAAAGCCTTTGTGACTGGTGGTGTGGCTCAAGTGGTAGAGTGCTTTGCAAGGGTGAAGCCCTGAGTTCAACTCTCAGTCCCCCCACACAAAAATAAGCCTTTGTTTATTTTAGTGGGGAGTGTTTTTAGAGACCATACCTAGGTGGTAGAGGGTGTTCATTATTGCTGAGTTGTCTGTCCTTCTAAACTGATTAAGTGTATATATTTATTGTTGAGAAGAAAAAATGAGTTTATACTAGTAGCTCCAATTTAAAAAATATTATTTTAATATTTTAAAGAAAACTAATTTCTTTGATATGCTTATATTTTCTGTTATACTGAAAACATCTTGACTGCATTTGACATTAGTGTAATTATTTGCTTTATCCTATTGTAATGTATGAGTTAAAAGTACCAATATTATTAATTAAGCAGTAAACTATTGAATGAAGCTAAAATTTCTTTGGAGTATATATCAGTGTCAATGCACAGTGGCATAATATTATATTCTAAATCAACATAATTTTTTTTCTGTGTTCTTATACTATCAAAGGAATATTCAGTTAGGTTCATTCATTTTCATGTATTTTTAGTTTTCTTTTAAAAGTTTATTAATATCAATATGACAGAGTTAAAACTATATTGGGAAAATCCAGAGAAATCCCAGTTTTCCCTTTCTGTCTGCACTTTGTTCCCTTCCCCAAAAGTTTTTAAAATTGATTTTTTGTTTATCTAAATAGTGTTTCTTTTTATAAAGATTAGCAAATCAAAAAATCCTTATAAACCCTACCCCTTCCTCCCTTTTTTTTTTTCCTTTGGCAGTACTGGGATTTGAACTCTGGGCCTCCAGTTGGTTAGGGGGGGCAGGGAGTGGCTCTGTCTCTTGAGCCTCACCCCTATCCCTTTTTGCTTTAGTTATTTTTTTCACGAAGGGTCTTGGGTTTTTTGCTGGGGTCGGTTTTCAAAAGCATTCCTCCTGATCTCTGCATCCTGGGTAGCTGGGATTCCAGAGATGGCCACCAGGCAGGGCCTTCCCTCATTTTTATGGTAAATAGCTCATTGGACTTTAAGAATGACTTTTTTAATTTGATAGATAAATGTATTTTTATTCACTTTCTTCTTTATTATATAAAGTAATGGTTCTCATCATGACATTTGCATACATGTATATGATGTGTTTTGATGATATTCACCCCCATTACCCTCTTTTGTCCATTCCCACCCCCCCTTCCCAAATAGTCCTATTACTTTCATGTCTTTTTTCCCCTCTGAATCTAGATCCCACTTATGAGAGAAACCATGATATTTGTCTTTCTGAGTCTGGCTTATTTTGCTTAACATGATGCTCTCCAGTTCCATCCATTTTCCTGCAAATGACATAATTTCATTTTTATTTATGACTAAATAATACTCCGTTGTGTATGTAGACCACATTTTCTTTATCCATTCGTCTGTTGATGGGCACCTCTGCTGACTCCATAGCTTGACTGTTGTGAGTAAGGTTGCTATAAACGGTGCACAGGTTGTGTTATACGCTGACTTACATTCCTTTGGGTGTATACCCAGGAGTGAGTAGCTGGATCATACGGTAGTTCTAGTTTTGGTTTCTGGAGGCACTTCCATACTGATTTTATAGTGACTGGAGTAATTTATCTCTGTATGGAGACTCTTCTCCTCATTTAGCAGTGATGAAGGTTAATACTAAGCATATGAAGCTCTGGAGAGATGAGGAAACATTTACCCATCCGTTCAGAAGTCCACTTTTCCAAGGGAACCAACCATTAGTATTATTTTTAACACGCTTTCCACGCCACTCTACGCTGTGAGGAGAGAAATCCACTCAATTTGGGATGATGCTTGTGCTTCACCCTCTGCCAACTTTGTATTCTGCGCCGCCGGGCTGGGCATGCGGCAGGCTGACCGTTTTCTCTCAGCGTCTCAGGAGAGGTGGGCGCTTGCAGCTCGCTGCCGCCCTGCACCTGACCTTGCCCCCTGCGGACGCCCCTCCCAGCCCCTCTGTGGGGAGATGAGCACAAATCTTGGTCTCAGTTTCTGGTTTCGGCGCTGGCGCCCCGCCCGCGCCCCGCGATGCCGAGATTGGGGGCGGAGGCGCCGCCTCCGTCTCCGCGCGCTCGCTCGCTCGCTCCCGCCCTCTCCCCGCCCCAAGCGCTCTCCTGCCTCCGCCGTGCAGGCTCCGCACTGCAGATGCCCGCCCGCCTCCCCCTGAGCCCCCGCCGCTTCTCACCGCGCTGCCCCGGAGGGACCCTCGCCCGCGTGGACTCACCGAGCCGTGCGTGCGAAGCCGCTCCGCCTGCGGGGCGGCCGGGGACCAGGCGGACGCTGGCCGCGCCCCAGCCCGGGGTGCTCTCGGATGCGGCAGGACAAGCCGACGGGCTCGCTGAGGCGCGGGGGGCGATGCCCGAAGCGACAGGGCGGCGGCGTTGGCACCATCCTGAGCAATGTGCTCAAGAAGCGCAGCTGCATTTCCCGGACCGCGCCCCGGCTGCTCTGCACCCTGGAGCCGGGTGAGGAGCGGGGCTGCAGATGGGGCTCTGGAAAGTCGCGGGGCGCGGGTGCCGCTCGCGCCCTGGCCGCCGCTAGCCTCCGCCTAGGCGGGTCACCGCGACTGGGCGCCCGCTGGCTCGGCCGGCCTGGGAGGCACAGTGCGCACAAGGGCCGGGGTGGGGGCACCGGCCTCCCGCGGCGCCGAGAACCAGCGGCCTATGCACCGGCCTTCTCCATGTGGTGGGGCGGTGCGGGCGGCTGACCCGCTGTCAGAGGCCGTGTCGCCTATTGTGCTCCCGGCTCCGCCAGACCTTGAAGGAGGTGTGTGGGTCAGCGAAAGACACAGGTCGACCTGAGAAGTCGGAGGGGCAGGCAGCGACTGTGAAGGAAAGATCGGGATATATGTAATTTCCTGAGAGTCCCCGTGGCGCGAGTGTCGGGGTCAGGGCTCCTGGAACTTGTAATTTGTGCGTCGGGGTGGGGAGCAGGCGCCAGATTCTTTCAGTAGGTAAATCCGCGAGCACGCCCGGCCGTGCCAGGATAGGCCCTTTCTGCCATCAGCCTGTGTTTACAGTGCCCAGCTTCTCCCGCCCCGCACCCTTTCCTGGGGTTTGAGGCGCCTGGCGCGGGCGCCCGGGCGCACAGGGAGCCAGCTGTACTCGCACCGGTGCTTGGAGCTCACCTTTCCCTGGAGTGGCCCCAGCTGGGCGCCAGGCGGTTGGCCAGCTCCACTCCCCGCCCCCCAGCGCCTTCAGGGACCTGCTGTTACCCAGCTGCCGGAGATTCTGCGGAGGCACTGGGTCCCAAAGGCTGGAACGCGTCGCTGCCTTTCCGAACCTCGTGGTTTCTTTGTTTTTCTCCCCACGGAAGTGTCTAGTTGCAGAGATTGTAGTGTTTTTTCACCGTCTTCTTTTACCTTTTTTTTTTTTTAAATCCCTTCCCACGTTAATTTCTGAATCCAGAACAGCTGTGATTATCAGATTAAACCTTCTTTCTTATTTAGTCAGAAGAAAAGGGTGTGTGTGCATGTGAAAATGACCTGACTTAAGCTTTTTCATGATAGCGAACGATCAATTGCAGTTAAAACCCCTAATTCGTTTTTGATCATGAGGAAATAGTTGTGGTTTTGACTAACTAAACCCAAGCAAAGGACGACAATCAGCATGACACCCAGCAGGTGCTCCGAAAAAGTCAAAGGAGCATATTTATTTGGTCAAACATACTAGTAAGTCGGTGGTTTTAGGGCGGCAGGAAAAGTCAGCGTTCAGCGCGATAAGAATTTCCTGGTCTTTGTTATTTAATGTCCTGATCCTGTGTTTCTCCAGTCAGCACCCGGGGCCTGGACAGCACCCTCACAAAAAAATTTGTGTCATGGTGCTGTAAATCATTCCTTGGAGCTGGAAACACTCTTGGGGCCATTGTATAACCACTGCGACAGGACTTAGTTCAAACTGCCTCACAGAGATTAGACTCAACGGGGTGTTTCATATTCCTTGGGGGAAGAAAATAATCTATCCAGGCATAGCATGGCTTTGAAAATAAATATCAGAGCATTGACTGGATGCCTGGGATTCTCTACCATGACTTGACTTTAGAAATCTAGGTTCCACTGCCTGTATCCACAGCAGTCTTCCAGGGCCCAAGAAGAGCGTCTGCATACTAACATGGGCCTGGGCAAATCAGACGCATCTCTCTTCTCCTTCTTTTCCTTCCCACCCCTCCCCTCCCCCACTCCTCTTCCTGAGATTGTTTCTGTCCTTATCAGCCCTTCATCGGGGAAGTTGTGGAGAGGTTTCCAATATACCTAACTTGAAATCAGTATCTTAGAGCAAAACTGTCATCATTTGATTTTTGCAATTTGTAAAATTTAATGTTACTGATAATGTTTGTTGTTTTTTGGCCTTTGAACTTTAATTTTTTTTTTTTTAAGTGACAAAGTGTTGGTGGAGTGGCTCAAGTTGTAGAGCACCTGCCTAGCACGTATGAGGCTCTGAGTTCAAACCCCAGTACTGCAAAAAAAAAAAAAAAAGACTTAAATGCCCTCACATTGATATAAAAATTGTAGAAAAAAATGTAGCATTTTCAGATTTGATTATAGTTCTAATATGGAATTCTGAATAAAGTATTAAATATACAGTCCTTACATACTTTCCTATTTATTTACTTCTTTCCAAAGCTTTGGAATTCATCTCTAAAAAGTTTAAAGTGGTAGATTACTTGGGATTAGAGTTCAGTTCTATTTTTAGCTTGTCAGCTAGAATTTTTGTCATCTAGAATTGTAAAATTCTAAATTCTAAATTTTCTAAAAATTTATCTTCAATGAATAAGTATATCAAGACAGAATTTAAAAATCATTTGAAAAATCTCCAAATAGAATTGTTACAATAGAACAGCAAAAAACAAAAAGTTATTATAATGGATCATTCCATAAGAGAAAAGGCCGTGACATCACACACACACACACACACACACACACACAGCTTTAGGAATAAAGGCCGTGACATCACACACACACACACACACACACACACACACACACACAGCTTTAGGAATAAAGGCCGTGACATCACACACACACACACACACACACACACACACACACACAGCTTTAGGAATAAAGGCCGTGACATCACACACACACACACACACACACACACACACACACACACACACAGCTTTAGGAATCCAATCCAGGGCCTGTGCATGCCTCTCTCTCCCTCTTTGTTACACCCACAGCCCTATGATATTTTGTAGCTTTTGATTCTCTACCAAAGTTTACTTAGGAGCTGTAGTCCATGCAGATGTCCTAGAAAAACAAACTCTCTAGTTTTCTTCCTATGTTTCATAAATATTAATTACACCATGTGAGATGTACAGTTAGTCATCACAAAAATCCTTTGAGATAGACATTACCATCCTCGCATTAAAGATAAAGGAATTGAGGCCTACACGGCTAAGAAGTTTGACGCTAGGAACCAAAGTTGAAGGGAGGGAGGTCTCTGTGACTCCAAGCCTCTGGTGTCATCTTTATTTTTGTTTTTGCATTACTTCAGGCAGCTGTGGAAGCCACCATTCTATTGCCATAGATCATTTTCCTATTTTAATAACAGATAACACTTTTTATTGACAAAATTGACCACAATTTAATAAAAGTGCATGTTTAAAATTTTTGACAATTTAGAGCCAAGTTTTACTTTTATTTTTGATAGAACTTGTTATAGTTTCTATAAATAACAACTGTTTATGCATCTTTCTTTTAGGAGTTGATACAAAATTGAAGTTCACTCTTGAGCCATCTTTAGGTCAAAATGGTTTTCAGCAGGTAACTTTATTTTTGGCTTTGACTACTCTTGTTTTGGGGTACCAACACATATTCTCAAAGTGAGAATATTAGCATATACTTTGCTATGCACAAAATGTCAGTGTTTCTGTTGATTTTCATTTTCAGGTATACCTTTGGAAGCTACACCTGACCTGGGTTTATACTTGCTATAAAAAATCTTGTGCTTTCTATACAAATGTGAAAAAATTTAAAAACCTAAATGTCTGTTGTTTTAATTCATAATACATGTTTTGGGTTTTGAATCAGAGCCACCCAGATATTAGGTGTGTACTGCAAATGGGTCACAGGTGTTTTTAGGGTGTCTAAGAGGTAGTCATATCCCCTAGACTGACAACTTCTGACTGAAAGAAGTTTTGATTATTTATCCTAGCTTGCTGTATTAATTATATCATGTTTTATGGATGTCAAGATGGAGTAAAAGTTGCAAAGTGCTCATCCAGGTCAATGTTATTACTTTCCTGATATTTCTTCTTTGTTCCTAGTGGTATGATGCTCTCAAGGCAGTTGCCAGACTATCAACAGGGATACCAAAGGAATGGAGGAGAAAGGTAAGGTGGGTTCCTAGGACTACAATACTAGAAGACTACCACTCCATCCTTTGAAACATCTGCAGTGTTAAAAAGTGTATTCTAGATTTAGTGATCTGATACTTGTCTGTTCATTATTCATGCAGGCCGTGAGTTCTGTGCCAGGTACTGTTCTAGGTGCTAGGGATGCAGCAGTGGAAACAGCAACAGATCCAAGTTTTTGTCCTCATGGAGCATACAATAAATAAAATATGAAGTATGTCAGATGGTGATAAATACCATAGACAAAAATAAAGCAGAGAAAGAAATCAGGAGAGTGTGGAGGAGTGGCATGCAGATTAGATGGGTGGTTTTATATTTTAAGGTTGAGATGCCTATTATAATCTAACTTGAAGGTTCATTTGGGCATGATTCTGATGCTTTGAAGTCTGGTTGGAGATACAAATAAATGCTATTCCTCCTAAATTGTGTTCAAATACCAAAACTTGAAATGCACTCTTAGGATATCAGTTAATACACCTACTATTAATATTTCTAGAATTTGAACATTGAGGATTCCTCAAAATAAATATTAAAATGACATTATGAAATGCACTTTTCAGAAACAGATTTTTTGGGTGAATAAAGGGGTAAAAATATCCAGTGACTTTAAAAAAAAACTTACTCATTGTGGGAGTTCATCTGTCAGGATTTTTGTTTGTGTGTGTGTGTGATGATTTAAAGGCAGAGGGTCCCATGGTTAAAAAAAAAAAAAAAAGGCCCATTTACCATGAGTGTCCAAGTGGTTTTTGCCCCAGTTCAAGGCTAAAGAAAATAAGTTTTTAGGATTATACAGTTAATTCAGTGAAGCGTATTCCTAATGCTTGGTTTGTTAGTTGGCATATAGTAGGAACTCAGCAAATATTTATTGTATTTATTGAATGGCTAAATGAAAGGCCCTAAAAGGTACAATTTAATACAGCAGAAATTTTCGTGAGGCTCTTGTAGATGTAGGTCTAGGCTGGTCTTGACACAGTTCCCATTCTCTGCTAGATACAGCACAATTTTCTAATAAAAGTGAAATGACATATTCTACTTGACCAATCTTCTTCATTTATGTAATGTTTTAGGTTTGGTTAACCTTGGCGGATCATTATTTGCACAGCATAGCCATTGACTGGGACAAAACCATGCGTTTCACTTTCAATGAAAGGAGCAACCCTGATGATGATTCAATGGGGATTCAGATAGTCAAGGTAATGCTCCTGAACTTGGCCTGTTGGTCTAGTGCAGGAAAAAGACTGCAGAGCTGAATGTTTCCTGGACAGAGAGACAAATGATCTCAACCTGTCAGAATGTCTATACATTTTCTGCCTCCCCATTTCATTAGTTTCTAGGTTTTGTCTTTTTTAACAAAAAAAACTTGATTATGTCTTGTCTTCATGAATTTAAATGTTGCCAGTCAGAAGAAAATGTTTGTAAATGAGCGCACATGTCAGGAGATTGAAATTTCTTTTTTTCCTTTTTAACATGGGTCAGTGTTGCCAACTGGATTTTTACATAAAAGTCACTGACTGAAAAACTTTATGTATATTTCATGTTACAGTCATTTGGCTCCTATTTAGATCTTTGGTAGTTTAACTGTTAATTTATAGAGATAGCTGGTTGACTGATGGATCTTCTTTGCACCAGATGTTTGATGGTTCAAGCCAGTTGTTGAGGCAACTGTGTCTTGCATACCTGGATTATTACAGTTGATTAGAGCTTGGTGCTAAAAGCCAAGGATTCTGATTCCATGTGGTACCCGGATAATCCTCTTACATAAGGCTGAAGCACATGGGTTTGGATTTTATGTGAGTGCATTACAGGGTGGTACTAAGCTGGGATATTAAAAGGAAGGTTGTTTCATCTAAATTTTGGCCTCCATGAGATGGCTGATGTTTTGCATATTTGAATATGATTTTTAAAGTAGGAAGTACTAACTAAAATGAGCTATGTTCTGATCTAACTTGGTTTCAGACAGATGCTAAATGAATTATGGCATTTCACATTGTATGCCGAAAACCTTTGCATTATCCACATTTCAGTTGTTTATTTGGAACTTCAGAATAGATTTCACAGAGCCAAGTATTTCATATTTGAAATGTTTTCTTTATATTTAACTTGTGAATTAGGGCAATGCACATGTTGCAATAATCATTTTATTAAGAGAATCTTTTACTTTTTCACTGAAGTGAATGCTATATTGGTAAAATGACCTCAGCTCCTGAAAACTGTAGTTTGTGCTTGGCAATTAAATTATAGATATTGATCTAATTACATATTAAAGCACAACAAATGTTTCGGTCCTTATACAAATTTATAAAACACAATTTGGATACAGTGATTTTTCTGTCTCTTTATAATACAGATTTATTTTTTGCTATTTTGACTTTACTTCTTAATAGAGTTTTTTTATTTTTTTTTAAATTGTTTTATTATTCATATGTGCATACAATGCTTGGGTCATTTCTCCCCCCTACTTAATAGAGTTTTGATAGCTAAATATTATAGCATATTTTGTACAAAGGAATAATATTAGAACCTATCATGCATGTGTTGAAATGGCTATTATGTCTGTAAGACTGATGCATACTTTTAAAATATAATGTTAATTTACATAAAATTATAATGCAGTTTTTGTTAGTTGAGTCACTTTTTTTGTGTCAGTTTTGGAAACACGTTAAGAAAATTTGTCTGATTGAAATTCTCCTTGCAAATTTCTCTTAGACAGATAGTAGAAAACATTAGGAAAAAGAAAATTAAAATCACGTTTAGCCCATATGTGTAAGATGCATGTACATTTTAGAAAACTACAATCTATGTTGATAATTTGATTCTATTTAATGGCAAGGCAAAGAAATAACCAAAGCTTTTATTTTGAAGGGAGTATTAGGAGTTATTTTAAAAGCATTGTTTCCCTTCCTTTTCAGGACCTTCACCGTACAGGATGTAGTTCGTACTGTGGCCAGGAGGCTGAGCAGGACAGGGTTGTACTGAAGCGGGTGCTGCTGGCCTATGCCCGGTGGAACAAGAATGTTGGGTACTGTCAAGGCTTCAACATCCTGGCTGCACTGATTCTGGAAGTAATGGAAGGCAATGAAGGGGATGCATTGAAAGTGAGTGTCAACTTTGATGAAGGCAGCTGGAACTCTTTTAGAGTGAACGAGAATTCTCTCTTCTGATGCCTCACTCCTTTCCAATATCTTTGTAATTAATATGATAGTGTTTTTGTAATTTTTCATTGTTTATAATTTCCTGTGATAGCATTTCCCTAAGATTAAAGCCATGTCACATGACAAACTCATAGTTGCCAACTGTGAGGGAAATGAATTGTTTTCATTTTCTCTTTATAAGATACCATATTTCAAAAAGTTAAATCTTTTTTTTTTTGGTGGAACTGGGGTTTGAAAAAGGGCTTTGTGCTTATAAAGCAGCCGCTCTTCCACTTGATCTGTACCTCCAACCCCACAAGTTAAATCTTAATTGGATAAATTATTCACTTTTGTGTAATGAACTAGCTGCTTAAAGCCGGAAGCAGGCGTTACCTCATAGTTTCTTTGCGTGAGAAATCTGAGCATGGCGTAGCTAGTTCAAGGGCATATATATCACTGTGGCATTCAAACTGTTGACTGTTGGGGTGTCTCATCTAAAGGCTTAACTGGGGAGAGCATTTGCCAAGTTTGTTCATGTGGTCGTTGGCAAGATTTGATTCCTCACAGGCTTCTGAGGTCTGCTTTTTGCTGGGTGTTGGCTGGAGGCCTCTGGTAGTTGCTTGCCATAACCAAATATCAGGAGTGACAGCTATCATTTTTCCACGTTCTACTTTTCCAAGTGGATACCAGGCCCAGCTTATACTCAAGGGGAAAGGCTTAAACAAGAGTATGACTACCAGGAGCGGGGCTTGCTGGGATCATGTTATAAGCTGTCTACTACACTAGTTATGTTTAATTCTGGTTGGACTGTTCTATTTACTTTACTCTTTCATGTTTGGGACAAGGTATGGAGTAGGTGGGCTGAGGAAAGTGTTTACATGGAGAATGTTTATGCAAGTGAATTATATCATTATCTTTTAGTCTTTGATGCCTAGGACCAATATGAATTAAAAATAATTCTGGAAACACTTTGAGATGGAACACTAACAATGTAAACTTACAGATTTGAATGTGAGTTGGTGAGTCACCAGAAATAGAGTCTGTATGAGAAACAAAGCCTTTCAAATGTGGGGGATGGCTACTGCCTTATTTGCTTAGGGCAATGTGGGTTGCCAGTTCATATTTGAACCTTTAAACTGCTGTTGACTCTAATGTTTGTGACGTATGAGATGGATAGGAAATCTTTGTATGCATACTCTGTTTGAATGTGATGAATACCTCAGCAATATTCTTAGTCACTGACTAATGTGATATGGAAAAATAAATGTTCCACCTGGTTTTATACATATCCTGGTGGGCTTAATTATAAATCTAGCTTGACATCCAAATCTGAATTCACCCTCTCACTTTTTCCATTCATCTATTTAAGGAAAAAGCTCTGAGCTACTTGTTCATCAAATAGGTGGGGGCAGGAGAAAGAAGGCAGTAACAAATCAAATACATGACTTTAAGGCATTTTAAATTGAGAAGCAATTTTGATTGCTTAATCTATCAGCCTTTGTCAGTTTTTTTTCAGATGTAATGTGTATGATTGTAAAATGGGAATTGTTCTGTTGAAAAGTTGGAATAAGCGATTCAAGTTAAGGGGTGGGGCGTGGGACAGAGAAGTTTAGGGAAGGGTGTGAATATGCCAACCAAATCATGAAAGGGCTCAGTGATACCTGACTAACGAAAAACTCTCATAAAAAGCTGGATTGGAAGCTGAATATTTTTATTTCTGCCTCCAAGAAAATGAGCACTCTGCAAGGAGATCAGTACATTGTCATCACTTAGGAATGTGTTGAGCTTGTGGTTAGACATTTAACATGCAGAGGAAGGTTGGAGTCATGAAGAAAGCTTTCTGATGTCAAGGAAATTATTGGGTATCCTTGTTTTTCCAGTAGCCATTTTAGCCTCTGCAAATTGAAATTACTAGGAAAATACGTAGAAATAAGGGAACCACTTTTCCTGCTTTTCATCACTACTTTTTTTTCCCTTAGTAGCTATTTTGTTTGCAAGTATTTATTAAAAATTTGAAGGTCCCCCACTACTTATCTGTATTATTATATCTTAAGATATAAAATTTGGCCTTTGAAATTCAGTTGTGGATAGAGTGAGTGAGCTGGCTCCTAGATTTTAGCGACGGACTTTGAGATGACTTTAGACTTGGAATTTTCTAGGATAATTGAAGAAGTACTTGTTTTTCTTAATTTTCATGTAGTTTTGGGGGTTCAGAATTTTTAAATAATATGTTAGTATTAGGAATGGGACTGTAGCTCAGTGGTAGAGTGCTTGCCTAGCGTTTGGGAAGCCCTGGGTTGGATCCCAGCACCACAAGACAAAAACAAAACAAAACAAAACAAAAAAAAGGTGAGTGTTTTTCTTGGTATTGCGTAACTTATTCTTAGGTGAAAAAGTACAATAAATTTACAAATTATTGCCTTTAAATTTGCCTTTGTGATCCTATGAGACTCTTTTTCTCCCAACCCATGGAGTGCTAGGTCCCTACCAGGGTCTTTGCTGAGAATCTGCCCTTTTCCCCCAGGACCTCCTCCATCCATAAGGACTGACTGAACTCCTTGTCCTGTTGCTGAGCTCCTGCTCCCCAGGTGATGATGTGTTTACCTGGTAAATCCTATCCTAACATAATAAGGCTAAGGCTTGCTGTGCCTGCCCACCCTGTACCAACGACCTCAGAAGGCCTTTTAAGAGTCTGCCCTCACAAACAAAACTATGATTCTGAAAGTAGAAATTATAAGCCACAAATGAGGGAAAATAGGTCCTTGGTGGGGCTAGAAGATAAATTTTTTGGAAAATAGTGTTTTGTGGGATCCTTTTCCACCACCTGTAGAGCCAGCTGTGATTTTGTTCTTCATTTTTGCTGGTGCTGTGGGGGATGACTGGTCTTTTATAGAGTGGGGCATGCACAGAATATACAAGTCCACAGGGAGAGGACAAGGAGTCCATGGACAGAAAGCACCTGTTTGCTGAGTCATTCTGGTGGCTCTTAACATTTCAGAAAAGGTGATACAAGTAGAAAATTCAGAATGAAATTAATTTGAAGAACTTGTGTGACAAAATTATGAAAGAAGTACAGACTTTAAAAGTACTGTTTGTCCAAACAAAACGTAGTTGCATACTCTCAGGAGAGGAAAGTAGACAAAACGCCAACATCAGTTGCTCTAATAATCCAGGTGAATTTCCAGGCCTGCCTCAGTGTGATGTTTTATGACAGCCTGGCTCTTGGGTTTCATATTGAGGTTGTAAAACTACCAACAAGGAGCCAAGACTGAGCCTCCTGATGGGTGCTGTGAAGCTTGTCCTTTCTCATTTCTCCTGTGGTTCAGGATTGTGTTACCACAGCTATATACGGGATGAACTCAGGTCTAGCTGCCCATCTAGAGATTTCAGCTCCAGCAGACTTGGGTCGGAGTTAAAGAGATAGTTGTGCCTTCTCTCCCTGCCCCCCATTCCCAGGGTGTAGGTGAGCCTTGAAAACCTAGAACATTTGGTTCTGACGGAGTGAAAGGATAGTGTGCTTCGGCTAACTGAATTTTTTTCTATTTGAATGTGTTCTTTTTATTTTTGACATGTTGGGGTCCTTGTTGTTATGAAGCAGTCTCATTCTCTATTTTGTTTTCTTCAGATTATGATTTACCTGATTGATAAGGTACTTCCCGAAAGCTATTTTGTCAACAATCTCCGGGCATTGTCTGTGGATATGGCTGTCTTCAGAGACCTCCTGAGACTGAAGCTCCCTGAATTATCTCAGCACCTGGATAGTCTTCAGAGAACTGCAAACAAAGAAAGTGGAGGTAGTGATGACTCATCGCTATTATGACTTGGAAAACATTTGGTTTCTCTGATTCCACTGTATGTATGAGCTTAACCATGAATGGAAATACAAGTTACCGGGAATTTCTGTCTTAAGAGTTCAGTGCAATCAATCAGTTATGTTTCCAGAGAACAAAAACAAAACTGAAAATACATAGGGCCACCTGTTGAATTTTCAACTGGCCACGGGTAGGAAGTTGGCCAAGAGCATAACACTCCATTGGTCTCATGTCAACAACTAACAGGATATATTGTACTCTAGATGAAGAACGGTGCATATGTCTTACCATCTAGTTAAACCACACCGATAGGAATTCTTTAAAACTGAGCTACAGGTACACTTTAGTACACGCTGATTTTTTCCAAACCCATTAGGTTATGGGAGAATAGCTCTGGGAGTCACTGTTATCTAGTGGGCATTGTCCAGCTCTTGGAAGTCCCCGGCTAAGTTGCTATAACTACACCCACTGCTTGCACTTCTGCACCTGTGTCTGGAAGCCAAAACAGAACAGAAGTTTGCTATGTTTCTTATGTGTGATTACGTACAGGACCCACACATTTAAATCTGGGAACATGGGACTGAGGTTGTAGCTCAGTGATGGAGTACTTGCCTAGCATGTTACAAGCCCTGGATTTGATTCCCAGAACTTTTTCCCCACCAAAAAAAAAAAAAAAAAAAAAAAACAAAGGACCTGAATAGACATTTTTCCAAAGAAGGCATATACACATGACCAACAAAAATATGAAAAGATGCCCAGCATCACTAATAGTCAGGGAGACATAGTAAAGGATTTTGAGGATCTAATCTTTGAATAGAATATATTAGAAATTTTAGGAACAGTTCAGTGTCTAAACATCTTCTTCTACGCCATTCAAAAAAATCTCATTTAATTTGATGTGCAATGTAACTATAAATCTTCATGTATTTCATAATATTTTCAGGTAATCCAGGCTTACCTGTCTTATAGTCTGACACACTTTTACTGAGCTACATATTTTTTCCAAGACTCTTGTACTTGGCTAAGAGGAATAACCTCAGGTTCTAGTCTTTGAGCAAATGTTTGTTCATAGTTAAGGAGGAAGAAAACGAGTACAAGAAAATACTTGTTTTTGTTTATATTTGGAACATTATACATACTGACTGTAATTGGCAGGGAGGATCAATCTAAATATCTAAACTTTCATATTTCGTTAAAAATACACACTTATCCCAGGAAGCAGGAAAGAGCGCTATATTTTTAGTGGATTCAGAAATTTAAAAATGGGCTGGATCCCAGGTCTTTCCTTAAAATTGTGTATAATTTAGTTGAAAGTACTGGAATTTTTCCAGCTAACTTCATGTTAGTGATTCCATTGTGGTCTGAGAATTATGTGTAAAATTTAAGAAGTAGATAATTTTTAATGAACTCTTCCCAGCCACATTTGAATAAAAATTGGCTCTATAAGATTTTGAAAACCTGATGGCTTTTGTGTTTTAGAAGCTAAAATCCTTTTTTTTAATTCTGTTTTTGGTGAGGAAAACTTTCTCCTTAATTCTCAACATCCTTCAATAGGTAGAGTCAGAGTAATTTTTAGGTTAAGATTTATGAAGTATCCTAAAGAATTTGTGAAACTAATATTATTGGGATTTTTTTGTAAAAACACCAATGTTCTTGATGAAACATGGGAAAAAAAATGGAGGAAGTACCTAGGATTCAGAGATATGAAATCTGTCAGGAAGTATAACACACTTCTTTGTGTAGAAGACATGGAAGATGGAAAGAGATCTGTACACCTTACAGATCATCAGTTCTGAAGGAACTCAGGGTGTTTGTTCTCTTTCAGGTGGATATGAGCCCCCACTGACCAATGTCTTCACCATGCAGTGGTTTCTGACTCTCTTTGCCACATGCCTCCCTAATCACACGGTTTTAAAGATCTGGGATTCAGTCTTCTTTGAAGGTTCAGAAATCATCCTCAGGGTGTCTCTGGCTATCTGGGCAAAATTGGCAGAGTAAGTAATTTACCCCATCAGTTCTCTGCTGAGGGCCTAAAGCAAGTTTTGTGCTCTTAAATGCAAAGCATTTATATTTAAGTGTGAGGAAAAGAGAAACTTGGGAACTTTGCTGACCTGCTTTAACCTCCTGAAATATCTTCCGGCTCCTTGATACCTCTGGGGTAGAAGGAATCCATTTTGGGGAAAGGGTGGCCTTTTCAGGCCTGTGGATTCCTCTCTCTTTCTCAATGCCTGTGTCCTGGCTGACTCCCTCCCTCCTGGTCAGCATCTCTCTGGACACTCATCTGGAAGGGGGAGGGGGACTTAGGTGGAATTAAAAATAGCTGATCTGGGGAGGGATAGGTGGGTGTGTTGGCTCATATCATAGTTTGAATTATTTGCGTTTCTATTTTGTTCAGCCTTTCTGGGCTGTGATAAAATTAAATGAGATAACCTGCACTATTGGGCTTTTACAACATTGTCCATGATAAACACATGGAACTCCTTTCCTTTCATTAAGAATTACTTGTATGTTGACAACTGGTTCTGCTAAAACATGTTACTAAATAGATTTTACTTATATTCTTTACCAATAGCAGGGCTGAGAAAGGTAAAGTATTTCCACTTATCTCTAATATACTGTGATGACTGCACAAACATTGTACCTTTTGGGTGACAGAAGAAATATAAGATAAAATTGTTACAGGTAACCTAAGACACAGAGAAGTTTTTGAACTCTGGGCTTTGCACTTGCTAGGCAGGTGCTATACTGCTTGAACCTTCTTGCTCTGGTTATTTTTAAGACAGGGTCTTGCTTTTTGCCTAGGCCTGCCTAGATTACAATCCTCTTACTTTATGCTTCCCGCCATTTCTGGGATGACAGGCGCACACCACCACACCCAGCTTTTCTCTATTGAGATGGGGGTCTCGCAGATATTTTTCTTGGGCTGGCCTAGAACTGTAAGCCTCCTGATTTCAAAGATTCTCCTGTAGCTTGGGATGACAGGTTCACGTCACCATGCCCAGCTATTGTTTGAGATGGGGTCTCATAAACTTTTTGACTGGGCTGAACTTGAACTGTGAGGCACCTCATCTCAGTCTCCCAAGTAGCTAGGATTACAGACATGAACCACTGGCTTGTTCTTTGTTTCTGGGACAGGATCTTGCAATGTAACCCAGGCTAGACTCAAACTCACCATCTTTCTGCCTCTGCCTCCAAAATGCTAAGTCAGTGTTTCTTTAGTAGAATTATAAATGACTTGAGTGAGTATTCATACACACCATGTCAGAAAATGCATAAAACACTGGTAATGTTTTGTTTCAAGAACTTTAAAACTAGCCTTTTTATTAACAGTAACTTCTTTCCTGGTGGACTTCCAGCATTAAATTTTTTTTTTCAAATAAAGCTCCTCCAACTCTCAATTCAGGAATTAAAAAAAATCACTGTTATGTGTAAGTATTTTTAAGCATCACATAGCTATTTCCTTTGCCTTTGTTTTATTGTATGTTGCTTTTCAGGCCAATAAATTCATCTGCATGGGCTTTGGTATGCTATTTATGTGTCTTTTCATTTTCTCCCAATAGCTTCCTTTTTCTGCAGTCTGATATTTTGAAGCTACTCTACCTTGAGCTTGATAGTATCTCTGGGTGCGATCAGTTACTAGGCAGTTGGGTTAAAATAGTAAAGCACTGTACTGTCTGATGGTTAGTGATGGTCACCTTTGCCTTAGTTCTTTATGATGGGCAGGAAGAAGAGAGATGATCCTGATTTTATTCCCATTTGTTCATTACCTATAGGATTAAAATTTATTCCTATACTAATCCCGGGGAAGTTTTCACTGTTGAAAAATTAATAGCTGCAGGAGCCAGTGCTCACTGTGTGCCTACAACCCACAGGCACCATTCTGAGTACTCTGCATGTATTGACTCATTTATTCTTCACGTCATTCTATGAGATGTGCACAATATTATCTTCATCTTCAGATGTGATAACTGAGGCACAGAGTTCAGCGATTTGCTTACAGTGACACATTTAGTAAGTGGGAGGGACTGGTTTTAAACCCAAGCATCATGACTGTATAATCTGTGCTTTTAAGATTATGCTTTATAAAGTTCAAAGGATTCTGATATATATGTTTGTATACATCTATATATTTGATATATAAGTCAGGTATCAGACTGATATATATAAACTATATCCCCTGACTGATATATTCACATATATGATATATACCTGATAGAATGGCGACTGTGTTTTAGTTTTTGCTCATACACTGTACATCTTTTGAGTGTGCAACTGTGAGAGGCAAGGAAAGGCAACCAACATATATCGAGTGCTGGTTGTGGCTGTCATGTTAGGCAGTTTGAGCACATTATCTCATTTACATCTCCCAGTAACCTTGTGAAGCAGATAGGAATGTTCCTTCCTGTCTTTTGAAGTGAGAAAACTGTGCTAGCATAATTGATTAACTTGTTCACAGTCACACAGCTAATATGTAGCAGAGCTGGGATTTATATCTGGATCTTTCTGACTCTGGCATCTATAATCTTCCCTACAAATGTTCCATCAGAATGTAATAGTTGTACAGATAACTTCCAGTTTCTGTATACCCGAGCAACATGTATGCCTTGTATATGTTTAGCTGGGGGGCCTCTTTTTTCACCTCACTTCTGCAACTTGGACTTTCTTCCTTTGCTATGCCAACTCCAGACTGACCATGCCAAGGGCACAGCTGTTCCCTCACCCCGTAATAAAGCCTTTTAGCCACTCGTGTCCTGAAGAGGCTCAGCTGGCAGGCGAGGACTTTGTTATCTGCCATTGGCAGTTCTCTAGCCTCTTACTGGCTCCCTCTGGCTGTGCAACAATCCCCCCACCCCCTGTCCCCCCACACCTCTAGCAATCCCCAGAAGATAGGACTGCTGTCTCCTGAATCTGGGCTTTGGAATACTTCTTCAAAAGTCATTTCAATCAGTTTTTTAAAAATTCTTCATCCCCCTGGGTAACCAACCATGTTTCATTTAAGCCCACTTGCTGTATTTTTGTCATAATACTTCCATGTTTTATTTCATTTATTTGTTTACATGATTGTGGTAATGGGATTTGAACAGAGTCTGAGAACTTTCCATCATCATATTTTTTTTAGGGGCTGGGGATGATTCTGAAAATCACTCAGTGCATGTCGAAGCTATGACTTCTGGTTGATGGGCAAACAGGATTATACTATGATGCAAAGAATATTCTAATAAATAAAACAGAAATACCCAGCACTCTTTGCTTTGAACTATTCCCGCCCCCCCACATCTCTTTAGAAAGATTAAAGTCTAACCTCTCTCATACGTTACCATGCAACAGATTCTCCCCTGAGAACTCAGAAAGTTCTGTCTCTGAAAACATTCTGTGGTCTGATGAAATATGCAGATAAAGCTCTCATATCTTTTATCTTTTTTCTTTTTTTTTTTTTTTTTTTTGGTGTTATTGGGGTTTGAACTCAGGACCTTATGCTTGCTGGGCTGGCACTCTACCACTTGAACCATGACTCCAGTCCTTATTTTTTAACTCTACTGATAGCGCTGAGGAGTATGACCAGCTCATTCCCTAAAGGGATAACTGCTCTTCAGTGTTCGTTTTTGTGGTTGTGATTTCTGGTCAGTGGTAGGTATGCTGATGTCCAGAATGTGTCACATGGACACAGTAAAGGTACCACAGTGGGACTGGGAGGCTTGGAGGACCATGCAGAGGAGATAGGAAACTCATTCTGTAACAAGTACCTCAAAATTTCTTTCTTTTTTTTTTTTTAAAGATGGGGGTCTTTACTATATTGTCTAGGATGATCTTGAACTCCTGGACTCAAGTGAGCCTCCTGCCTCAGCCTCCTGAACAGCTAGTATGACAAGTGCATACCACCGTGCCCAGCTTGCTTTTGGTATTTTTGATCTTTTCTCCACAGTAGGCCATATATTGTGTGTGCCAGGATTTTGATTTTTGTTGATTGCTAATTTGATTGAGTTGATGGTAAGAGACAGCACGTCTTCTTGTACCTGTGGCATATTCCTGTTGTGCAGCACAAATGATCTTCATGCATCCTTTCCTCTGCCCTTTCTTCCTGTAGGCAGATAGAATATTGTGAAACAGCAGATGAATTTTATAGCACCATGGGGCGTCTCACCCAGGAGATGCTGGAGAACGATCTTCTGCAAAGCCATGAACTCATGCAGGTGAGTGGACAGCTCCACCAGCCCAGGCACGGAAACCCAGTGACCATAGGAAAAATTGGCACTGGAGCTGAGGCCTTGGGAAATGTATCTGGTCAACCTTCAGACTTAGTTTTTAGTTGACCAACAGTCTATGTATATGGGTCTATGACACAAGAGGAAGGAAGAAATGAATGATGGCTATTTGTTGTGGCTTTCATTCAAATTATATTGCTTAAAAATCATTAGGTATAAGATAAAAATAAAATGAGAATAACCCAAAATAAAACAAAACTATCAAGTGCTTATTCTAAATCTGATTCTTCAGCTTTGTGTGTGTGTGTGTGGTAGTAATTGGGTTTGAACTCAGGGCTTGGCACTTGCTAGGTAGTCTCTTTACTGCTTGAGCCACATGACCAGTGCTTTTTGCTGTGGTTATTTTGGAGATAGGGTCTCATTTTTGCCCAGGCTGGCCTGGAACAATTCTCCTGTCTTAGGCTTTCTGTTGTTGCTGAGATGATAGGCTGCCCAGCTTCTTCCATTGAGGTGAAGTGTCCCAATTCCCACCCCAACATGACTTAGAACTGTAATCTTCCAGGTCGCAGCCTCCTTGTATAGCTTAGGATGACAGGCACCTGCCATCATTGCTTGAGATGGGGTCTCATGAAGTCTAGGCTGGCCTTGAACCCTGATCCTCCCAATCTTAGCCTCCCAAGTAGGTAGGTGTGAGCCACTGGTGCCCAGTTGATTCTTAGGCTTTTTAAAAGGAGACTTATGGTGTTAAATAATTATTTTGGGGAAAGGATTACTGAGGATAAAAAGGAGATTATTTTAATCTGCATTTTGGTTTATTTTCAACTCAGGTTATTATATATTAATCATAAATTTCAATGTGAAAGACTTGAAGGGTGTGGTTATTTTCTGGCCTGTTACTCTATCTCAAGATCATATTAACCAATTCGTTGAAATTGAGAGTGACTATCAAAAAGACAGCTGATTTGTTACACTCTGTCTTCCATTAAGTTTTGTAACATAACTTTATCTTCATTTTCTGCCAGTGTTTTGGACTACTTCTCTTCCTGTTGCAATCTGTAAACTGTGGGTGGCACCCAAGGTTGTGCTGGAGCCTTGCCTCCTTCCATCTCTGTGATTTCTCTTTCCATTTTCTTGGTTTCAGCTTTCATCTTTATGTTGGGTTCCATGCTCGGGGTCAGCTTTGGACTCTAGAGTCCACTCAGTAGACTAGACAACTAAGACTGAGACACTGATTTAGGGCTTGAGAAGTTAGCATTCCTTTACTCACTTCCTGGCACTCGCAGCTCCTCAGAATCTCTTGCTTTTAACAGATGCCTCGCTCACTTATCGAGAATACTGACTGCCTGTTACAATTTCTCTGAGCATTCATAGTTTTATCTCCATGCTCTTTTGCATTCTCTTCTTTCTTGTCTGTCTCAAAGCTCAGACTTGACCTTTAGGTCAGTGGTTGTGAAATTGGACTTACTAGAGTTCTAGGTCATCTATGGACCCTCTGCACACGGGCAAAGAGGAGCTGTGGATCTGAAAGATTTCAAGGAGAGGAGAAAATGGTTTGAGTTGTGTTTTCTGTCAACTGTGTGAGAGACTCTGTGAAGCAGGGATTTGAAAAGGTCAAGTCTGATACCAGGAAGCCAGGAAGACTTGTAAGGAGGTAAGGACAAGAATGGAACAGAGGCAATACTTAGGAAGTGAAATTGACTGGATGTAGGGGTAAAGAAGAAAGAAATTAGACTGGTTTCTGGCTTAGGAAGAAGAAGGTAAAGTTATGAGGGGAGGAGGATAAGCTTATTTTTTAGACAGAATGCATTGGAGATGTATTTTGGCTGCCCCATTCGTTACTTATCCAGAGGTCTTCCTCACTCCTTCACATCTGGAATCTATCACACCAGTCATAGCTCTGTTCTTATCCAGGCTTCTGTTGGCCATGCTTCCCTCTGCTGCTCCATCTGTGAAAATCCTAGTTGCTCACCTGGACCCTGCTACGCCTCTTCTCTGTTAGCTCAGCTGTCATTGATGATGCTCCTCTGGCACTTCTTCAGTACTAAAAATTTTCGGCAATCTCTCTCCGAAGAAGACAGGTTTCTTAATGAATTGAGCTTCATACCACTTTCTCCATAGCACCTAGCAGAGTACTAAGAATATAATTGGTTACTCTGAATACACAGAATCATAGAACACTTGATCTTGAGGCAGAGGTTTTCAAACATGACTGTGTGTAGGAAACATTTCAAGAGTCTATTAAAATGCAGGTATTTGACCTGTGGGTGCTTCTGATACAGTGGCTATTAGAGCACTTAGAGGAAACACTGGCTTGAAAGATGCTTAACCATCAACTAATCTATTTCTGTCACTTTATAGAGAGAAAACTAAGTCTTGGAGAGTGAGCAACTTGGCAGTTTGCTGGTTTCTAGAAGTAGACCCAGTCTGAGATGTATGTTCCTGACCCTTGGCCTAATGGTTTTCTGTACTACTCAGCACACTGCTCCCATGTCATTCAAAAGATGTCTCTCTAAAATCTGGAACCCTTTTTATAATACTAAAGCAACATCTCAATTCACTTAGAGTTTAAACATTGCCAGAAGCGATGAGGGAGATGTTGGAGAGCCTCTTTGTTCTCCAGGAGTTTCTAATTAGGTATTAGGAGAAAGAATTACTTTTTAAACCCTGTTTTAAGAGAATACTAGAAGGAGATTCTGTAGGCTGTGGGATGATTGGTATTGGTTGTATTCCTCTTTAGCAGCATTTTTCTTGTCAAGGAAAACATCTGGGTGAAGATGAACCAAGTCTAATTTTATACAAGTTAAGTTTTCATGTTTCTTGTAAAACATGTCAATAATGAAGAAGGAAACATTCCTTTTCAGCAGTGCCTAAATATAAATGTCTATTTATATATATGTTGGTAGAAAATGTTAGGGAAGGAAAGGGTGAATGCCATTGTAAACCACTCTCTTTTCTGTATTAATTCTTTTTTATTATAAATTTTTATTAGGATATATTTATTATACAGGGGGGATTTGTAGTGACAATTATGATTAGACTTACATTGTTTATTATTTACATTGCCCTCATCGTCTCTCCCCCCCAGCCCTCTCCCCACCCCATTTAAAGCAATTGCAAGAGGTTATTTAGTTCTGTTTCATATAAGTATATGAAATCCATCAACCATATAGTATCACCTTAATCTCCTTCCTTCACCCTCCTCCCTCCCACAAGTAACCCCCCCGACACTGTGCCTATTTTTCAGTCCTAATTTTTGTTATTAATATTTAAGTTGACGTTCAAAGGGGTGTCTCAATGTATGCCTTCTGTAGGTGTGCTTTATTTTGGTATGTTCAATCCCTTCAAATATTCTCCCTTACCCCTTTACCTCCCACCCCCTGTGTTTCAACATTATATTATATCCTCTACCTTTACATCTTATGGTATGTGATATTACTGATGCTCTTTTCCTTTCCCTCTTTCCCTGAGTTCCATAGAGTAGTTCCACTGTTACAAACATGATCTACATTTGAGTTTGTATATGATCATGCTTGTTTTTCTATATATGTTTATCTTTTGGATCTGTCTTCCCCATATGAGGGAAAACAGGCATATTTTGTGTGTCTGATCCTGGCTAACTTCACTTAGCATGATGTCCTCCAATTTATATTCACTCTTAAAAAAAAAGAATTCAGTAGTTACGATCTGGCTATGGTGATCGTAAATCTGTTAGCAAACTTGAAATAGCTTCATATGAAAAATGTGAGCTGATTATAAGGTCTTTATTTTTGAGCCAAAAGATAAAAGGATTCTTCCCTTTTTGGTCTTTCTCATTTCTTTCTAAGTACCATACACAAACTAATAGACTGGGTTTCCCTCATTGTGGAATACATCACTCGTTTCTAATTAGCAATGGCCTTTTGATGCTTTTTTCCTAAGTGATAGTATTAAACAGGAAAATTGTAGAACTGCTGATGAAGTAATGTATCTGTACTTCAGTAGGACTTTTGACAATGTCTCTGGTAATTTCCTTGAAGGCAATATAGAGAAAAGTCAGTTAGCTGCTACTATTAGAAGGGTTGTAGGTGTTCGAAACACCTCACTGAAGTGTTTGGGGATGATTTACTGTTACCTGGAGGCAGCCCTCATATGTCATGAGGCAGGATTTGATCACTTTCCCCATCAGTGATGGGTTGGAAATTTTAAGGGTGTGGATGCTTGTTCAATAGAAGGACAATGTTTGATTAATTAGTTCTGTCAAAAATTGAAACCGTCTGCCCTGCAGAGTAGTATGTGCCCATAACTGGAAGTGTTTAGGCAGCATCTTTGAGGCCATCTGTTGGAAATGCTCTAGAAGGTGCTCCTGTGTGGGGATGGGGGAAAGGTTGAGCTAAATTAGGTCTAAATTCCCTTCAAATTCTGACATTCTATTACTGTGCTGTACTTTGGCTTAAAAGATTAGTAGAACCTCTTTCTTGGATTCTGTTGCAAATCTCCAGTTTATAAGTTGGAAGCCCAGAGGTTTTCACGTACACTGAGTGCTGTGGTGGTGCGTCAGGGATGCTCATGCCCACAGGACAAGCGTGTCCTCACAGGCAAGACCCTCAAACAAGTAAGTACATGCAAAGGACTATAACTGTTTTAGGAACACAGACTAACTTTAAGGAAACAGAAAATGCAAGTTCAATGGAATCAGTTTTCTCTTTGATTGGTGTCTTCAACTGAGTGGCCAGAGGAGCTTACTCAGAGCCTGGACCATCAGCCCTGGGGCAGGCAAGTTGTGTGTGCACACACTTGTGATGGTGGGGCAGGAGGTACTTCCCACCACTCCTCACTCAGAAACTTCTCAAGGCTTGGCCACGGACTGCTTGAGTACTTTGTTATAAAACTAGCAGAAATAAAACACAGGTGAATCTTCAGCTAGACACCTCATCTTATTTCACTTGTAAGGAATTTCAAAATCCCCAGTACCAGTAATCTCATTGAAGGGTGTAATCTCATTTTAAAGTTGAATCCACAAGGTATAGGTTTCTTAAATGTCTGAACCAAGTTTCTTAATTAGCATGGAAAAAAATTGCATGAGTGATATGGTACTTTGATTCTTGGTGTGTGATGGCCAGATATTGTAGGAGCCTCTGATTCTGCTCTTAACTGAGGTCCAAGAGGAGGTGCTGTGTGCTGGAATCTATAAAGTGTAATCAAAGAATACAAAAGCTTACTCTGACCACAGTATTAGTAAAATTAGATGAAGCATTTCAGGCACACAGAATATATTTAGTATAACAAAACCTATATAATCCTACCCATCTTAAGAGAGGAAACATTAACAACCCTCACACACTTCTGTGATCCCACCACCTCCTTTCTCTCAAGGTAACCATGGTTCTCAGTTTCATGCTCTGCATTTTTCAGATGAGGTAAAGGAAGCCCAGAAGTGTTGGGGACTGATGCAATCTCACACTTCATGCTAATAGGAGCCACAGATACTTTTTGTTTGTTTCTTTGTGTGTGTGTGCGTGTGTGTGTGTGTGTGTGTGAGCCTAGAACATGCGAGGCATGCACTCTACCACTTGAGCCACTTCCTCAGCCCCTTTGTTGGTATTGTGTTCTATTAACTTTGAACTCTTGATCCTGGTGCTTCCACCTCCCACCTAGGATTACAGGCATGGACCACCATGATTAGTTGACCCCTGTTTCTTTTCCAGGAGCAGAGGGAGCACTGTGTTAGTAAATTTGTACTGCTTATCAGCCTTTTGGGTACCATTGCATATATGGCATAGGTAGTAAGACACTTAGGGGTGACTTTTGTGGTCCCTATAGTCTGTGGAGCTTTACACAATAAGCATAAACAACTGGAGGGAAGGAACTGTAACCAGCAGTTACTTACTTGGAATCTTGGGCTGGTATATAAAATGTGAGTGGATACCAGGAATTTTGCAGACAGGCAGATGTGCAGGTTATTAGAATCAAAATTGCAATGGATTGTCACAGTGGTGGCACTGAGCTACAAAGTGAAACAGCAGCACACACTCCCTTTAACCCGCCCCACAACATACACTCATCCGACCTCTAAGCCTGTGTAGAAACAGTCCTGCTGAAGTGAAAAATACCATTTTAAAATATTTTCCTAGAAAAATGTCATCAGGATATTTGATTTGCTTACTGGGAGAAATGAAAGTGTATACTTTTGCTGGTGAATTAAAACCTGAAGGATTAAAGAAATATGTATGGAGTAACTAAACTTTAACAAAAATTAAGAGAGCACACAAGATTTCTGTTAGCCAGGTGCTGGTGGCTCACAGCTGGAATCCTAGCTACTCAGGAGGCAGAGATGAGGAGGATTGTGGTTCGAAGCCAGCCCAGGCAAATAGTTTGCGAGACCCTATCTCGGGGAAAAAAAAAAAAAAAAATCACAAGAAGGACTGGTGGAGTGATTCAAGGTGTAGGCCCTGAGTTCAAACACCAGTACTGCAAAAAAAAAAAAAAAATTTCTCTTGATGATGGGATGATGTGGTGATGTATAATTTTGAAATTATGAGTGCAGAATTTTCCATATTTTTATTTATAGATTTTTTTGACAGTGTATGCCTTTTACCTTGTCACTTTTTTATTGCTTTATTTTTTTCCTTTAAAAATAACAGCTAACAATTTTCACCTAGAACTCATTCACAGGAATTTGCAAAGGTGATATCTGTGGAGAAAACTTGCTGTTGATCACAAAGATCATCCAGGAGATGTAATTTTATCCAGTAGGCTGACATTAATGTCCATAAAAATTATTAAAACACTGAAAAGGACATTGTCCTTTGAAGGACATTTATGGGTTGTTATACAGGTGACAGGAGCTGTGGGTTTCTGAGCTGACCCATCTATCAAACTACAGAAGGAAACCAGCCTCCCCCTGTTAGTCCACCTGTGTTCACCAGTTGGACTGCCTAGCCACAGCTGGGTTGAGTTGAGGGCTCATTGTTGTATTTATTAATACAGGTTGAGAATCCCTCATCCAAAGTTCTTGGGACCAGAAATGATTCAGAGTTTGGATTTTTTGGGTTTTGGGGAGATTTGCAAACCCACAATAAGAAGTCTTGGGAATGGTACCCGAACATTAATATTTGGGTCATATTATTAATGGGACCCAAATACAATGTTCATTTAGGTTTCATAGCACCTTTTACACATCTTTTACACATAAAATTATTTTACACATTATTTATATCATATTTTTAGTACAACTGTGTGTGTCTGTGACCTAGTTCTTTGAGGTCAGGTATAGAAGTTTTCACTTGTAGCATCATTGTTGGTGCTCAAAATGTTACAGATTTTTGAGCATTTGGGATGTGGCTTTGGGATACTCAATCTGCAGTATTCTTTGTCTTTCTCTAACGTGGATGCTGAAGTGGAATTGCTCCCACTTGCCATGTAAGGAGCCCTTGACCTCATGAAAATGTAATGACTTTTTGGGACTAGTGAGAGTTGTTTCATGCCACAGCTTCAGACTTGGCATTTTTGCTTTTGTTTTTCAGACTGTTTATTCTATGGCCCCATTTCCTTTCCCACAATTGGCAGAGTTGAGGGAGAAGTACACCTACAATATTACACCATTCCCAGCCACGGTTAAACCCACCACAATTTCCGGGTAAGGTTCTTTTTTTTATTATTTGTAATTGTAAATTAGAATTTATTAGGCCTAAAGTTATGTGCAAAGTCTTTTGGTACTTAAAATCTGAAGTCTTTCCTAATGGTTTTGGTTTAAATTCAAGAGATATTTTTAGCAGTATACTTTCCAAACAAGTTTGGAACATAAACTAAAGTAAAATTTAGCAAGTTCACAACTTACTTAAAGATATAAAATATGTAAAATCTCAAAAATTAAAATAATGTGAAACTGGTATACAAATAAACAGATGAGCTAATTTAAAATGCAGTGCTATATACAAAATATTGTATGTGAAATATACCATATCCAATTAATGGTGGAAAGGTAGACCTTTTCTGTAGGTCTAGGGTTTGAACTCAAGCCTTTGCACTTGCTGGGCAGATGCTCTGCCATTTAAGTCACACCTTTATCCCTTTTTGCCCTGGTTATTTTGGAGATAGGGGCCTTGGTTTTTGCTGAGGCTTGGCCGGACCATGATCCTCCTATTTTATGCTTCTTGTCCTTGCTGGGATGATAGGTGCACCACCATGCTCAGCTTTTTTTCTGTTGAGATAGAGTCTTGCAAACTTTCTTGCCTGGCCTAGAACCATAATCCTCCTGATCTCAGCCTTCCTTGCAGCTTGGGATGACAGGTGCACACCACAGTGCCCTACTGTTGGTTGCGATGGGATCTTGTTAGCTTTTTGCCTGGACTGATCTTGAGCTGCAGTCCTCCTTATCTCAGCCTTCCAGGTAGCAAGGATTACAGGCCTGAGCCATGGGCACCCAGTGGAAAAGATAAACTTTTTAGTAATTGGCCCATTGGTAATGGACCAATGATTCTTAAACTGGAAAGAGAGTTAGCATCACACCTCGTACCATATATCAGAATGAATTCCATATGGGTGAACGTGTTAAATGGAAATAATTAGCAGAAAAAAATGTGAGAGAATTCTGCTAGTTCTTTTAAAAATGAAGGAAAATTAAAGTACTTTAAAAAATAATTTTCTGCATGATAAAACCCAAAACAGAATTAAACAAAATCTGTATAAACAGACTCAAAAATATTTATGGAAAAATTAATGCCTACATTAAATAGGGGCTGATGCCTCTAACTCCTAGAAATTAATAAAAATAATTGGCTCCCCAGTTAAAAAAGATGAAGGAATGTGAACATGCAGTTTATGGAAAAGGCGACATCATTAGTACTAAGATAAATGTGGCTTAAAACTAGAAATTGAGATTATGTTTTTTTGCCTGTCAAATTGTCAGAAATTCAAAAGCTTGATAATGTACTCTGTTGATAAGGCTTTGTGGCAGACAATCTAGTATATTTGTCAAAATCACTAATGCATATATCCTTTGTCTCAGCAATTCTATCCTTATGAATTATCCTGCAGATTTCTTTTATACACATACAAAGACAGCATGTATTGTTTATAATAGTATAATGTTGGAAACCATTAGCAGCCTAGTGCTGTATGCATATAATACAGCTATAAAAAAGAATGAGGAAACCTGAGGGTGGGGTGCAGGAGTGGAGCCCCTCTACCCCTCTACTTGCTTAGAATGTAAGAGGCTCTGAGTTCAACCACAGCACCACAAAGAAAATGAATAAATAAATAAAATCATACTTTAACAGTAAATAGCTCTAGAATACAAGGTTCTTCTCTGTGATCTCATTAGCAGTGACTTGCTACTCAAAGTGTTTGAGTCTTGGGCAAAGTAACTTTAAGAAAAACCAGAGAGTTGTAAAATAATGGTCCAAAAGGATAAGGAAGCCCTATGTGAATATGGAAAGGTATCTTATATGACTAAAAGTATGATATAGAAGAATATATATACTATGCTACTATTTATGCACAAAGACAAAAAGAAAATTATGTAGTTATATTTGCTTATCCATACATAGAAAAATTGAAGAATACATAAAAAAAAGGGTAACAAATTTTACCTGTGAGGATTAGGATTAGAACTGGGTAGAAATTGGCAGGGATGGGAGGGACACTTTTTTATAAATCATATAATTTAAACCATGAACCTGTATTAACCACTGTTTTTAAAACACCACTATTTTCTTTGACTTCCTTTTTCTTCTTTTGTTTTCCAAGACGACATAGTAAGGTCAGAGACAGTGATGAAGAGAATGACGCAGACGATGAAGATGCTATTGCCAGTGCAGTGGGGTGTCTTGGACCTTTCAGTGGGCTCCTGGCACCTGAACTGCAGAAGTATCAAAAGCAGATTAAAGGTAAAGAGCTGGCTCTTGATTTAGATTATCTCAATTTGTTGGTTCCCTGCCACAGGGCATTATTATTGTGTCCCTTGCCTGCCTCAGGAATTCCTGGAACTGGTCACTACACTACTCTACTATTAAGTGCTGCACACATAATGCACTTTTCATTTCCTTCACAGTGACTTTTTTCTTTCCAGTAATCTGATTCAACTTTGCATTCAGTTCCTCAGGATAGAGCCTGGCATTTTGTAGCTGCTTAACACTTTCTGTCTTTAATCGAATTCATCCTAGATTGGCTTCTCTTCTGCTAGAGGACTAAACCTTTAAATATAAAACAATATGGTAGCCTTTACTTGAATTTCTTGTGTAACACACAACTCATTATTTCACAAGACATTTGCTAGATTCTTCCCCTTAGCCTTGGATTTCTAGTTGCAAAGAGATAATCTCTACCTACCGGTTCTAATAGTTCTTCCCTCTGGAGCAAAACAGAACAAGTCTACTCTCTCTGCTACCTGACATCTTTCAAATCTTTGAAGATAGCTATCATATCTCCCATAGCCTTCTCTAAGGCCCAAGTTCAGAATTTCTTTAAACATTTCTCATAAGATAAGACTTCCAGAGATCTTTATATTATATTACTTCACCGTAGACGCTCTCTCATTTCATAATGTCCCTCTTAAAATGTGGTGCTCTGTCTTGTTTATTTGCCATGTTTTGTTTATTTTTTGCATGCAATAGACTTCCTGTGGGCAGGGATTATCAAAGTAAGGAACTCTGGAAGCAGTCTGGTTCTCTCACCATGTTTTTTTCTGTCTTTGGTGGCAGCTCTTCCTTCTAGGTGGAAGGCCATCCTTCTTGTTCAGAGAGGATGGAAACAGGCTCAGAGACAGGCACCTCTACATTCTCTTTGCTGCTTGCTAACTTTGTATTACTGTTCTGATGAAATGGCGTTATCTTCTCATTTGTTTGGTTCTTGTTTAGAAGGTGGCAGTAGCAGCTGCTGCTGTTGCTTTTTTGGTTGTGATAGTTTTGGGTTTTTTCTCCAAGCCTTAGCTTGTTTTGAGTTCTAACCTGTTTAATAGCTTCACACTGCTTTGTGTGTATGTCCTTAGTATGTACCCTTCTCTCTCTCTTATTGGTGGTATTGGGGTTTGAACTTAGGTCTGAGCCATGCCCTTAGCCCTTTTTACTTTCCAGTTATTTTTGAGATGGGGTCTCAGAATTTTGCCTGGGTCTTCCTGGACTGAGTTATACATACTTATGTCTCCTGGATAGCTGGAATTACAGGCTTGAGTCGCCATGTTCGGCCTTCTTCTTCTTCTTTTTTTTTTTTTTTTGTTAAGGGGAGTTCTTGCTTACTTTTTGCTCAGGCTGACCTTGAACTGAAATCTTCCTAAACTCTGCCTCCCTAGGATTATAGGTGTGAGCCACCAGCTCTTATCTTATCTTTTAAAATAGCTTTTAAAAATCTGAACCCAGAAAGGATACTCTTGACTTCTATAATACTCTCCACCCTGTTTCTTACTGCCTGAATTTCAGCTTTTGGTTTCTAGACATGGATCAATATGCATTTTTAATGCTAAAGTTTTTGAATCTGCACTTCTGCAGTGGGCCTGTGTTCTGTTTTTTTTTTCGCTTTTCTTTCTGTGCAATTATGTGCCTCAGGATGACATCACCACTTTTTCCTAATTCATTTAGTCTTTCCTACTGATTTTGCTGAAATTGGTAGTTCCTTCTTCAGTTTTCTTCTCCTTGGAGAAATGATTTCAGTAACAAATGAAGTAAATGTATGAGACATTTTGCTTTTATCTGAGAGATGCTCTCAGCAGGTGTTAGAATAGTGGAAATCTCTCCAGCTTTCTTTAGCTGGTGTCCAGAACAGTTTTATGTATTGTTGGTTCTCTCCCCTTTGTCCTGTATGGTCTTCCCATAGGAATGGCTCTCTTTCTTGGATGTAATCCAAGACACAAGCTTGTTGTAGATGTCACAGGAGCACAAGCCACATCAGACAACACACAGAACAGATAGTCAGAAAGTGTTTGTTAAATGAACAAAAACTTCATTTCTGGTGGTACAGTAGTCCCAAAGTCTCGATGAATCTATAAAATGTGTTACTGATTTTATCTTGAGAAGTGCACTTTTAATGGCTGTGTAAACTCTACAAACTGTCAATCCCTTATAAATCCTCACACAGTTGTGTGACAATTGCACAATGATTTTAGACATCTGTGTTGCATTTTTCTAAAGGAATTTTAAAAAATGGCATCGATTTTTATCTGGAGGCAGTTGATCAAAGTGAATAAAGTGGTAACAAAATCAATGAGACAACACGGCTCATTTCAGACCCACAATTAGGCAAATAAGAAAATGCAGGGGCAAATCAAAACAAACACTAGACAAATTCTAGGGCATGTTTTTGTGGTTTAGGACATCCTGGCGATTAAGATACCTCCTTGGGTGGTAGGGTAATTAATTTCCATTTGATCCCACTCCCTCCACTGACCAGCATTTTATGTCTCTTCCTTGAGCGCAGAGCCGAACGAGGAGCAGAGTCTGAGATCAAACAACATTGCAGAACTGAGTCCGGGAGCGATCACTTCCTGTCGCAGTGAATATCATGCTGCATTCAACAGCATGATGATGGAACGAATGACCACAGATATCAACGCCCTGAAGCGGCAGTACTCTCGAATCAAAAAGAAGCAGCAGCAGCAGGTCCACCAGGTGTACATCAGGGCAGGTAATGGGATTCTTTGTTTGAGTCATTTTTGACTCAATCTCAACTTGTGCAATGAAGGACAAATGATCAGAGGATGGTGTCATAGCACAGCACCCATAAGTCAGCTGGCGTGTTGAGCATCTCTCTTTTTTTATTTTATTTTATCAGGCTCTAAAGAAGAAAAAGACCATGGGTTCTGTTTAGGTCCCACGGAACAGGCAATGGATGGTATTAAATGCATCTTTACTATGCGAGTTGTATTAGAATGTTGCAATCCTTGGACTCGAGAAATTTTAGACATTTCATGCATTTGAAAATAGAATTTAGTCGTCTGTGCACTAGTAAATTAAGCTCTTCTCTAGTCATTTACGTAGTAGTATAACAGATGTTGTCATCAGAGAAAAAGGGGGAAAAACCCTTAGAAAGCCTGTGCCTCACTAAGGGTTAAGAGTGTACTAAGAAGAATTCTAATGTGGTTGGAGATGCTCTTTTCCAAGGATTGTCAAACTGCTCTTTTAATTCCAAAAATCTCGGTGAACAATTGGCTTTATTGTTTAATGAATGCTGATTTGGGGAGTGGTTTTTCTTGTTCTAAGTGAATATCCTAATGAAAATGATGCCTATCCAGAATTAACCAAGATATAACCTTGACATGTTTTTAAGTGACTGGCGAGCATGTGACTGATCCTGTGCAAAAACTGAATTCCCCTTCTACTCATCAAAGGAATAGGCAACTCTCCAAGGTTCTTACTTTATCCTGAATCATTAGTAAGCAATTACAAAGCAACTTACAATGACAACACTTTAATTTTCAAAACACTAGTACATTCATTTCCTTATTTTGTCCTCAAGTCTATGAGGAAGGCTTGATAGTGGTCTAGGGTTTTACAGTATAGTGAGTGATTGATTAGGCTAGGGCTAGAACCCAAGTGTGATGATTCTTTATGTAATCATTTTTTCAACTGAAAAACATCTTTAAGCGGGGTGATAAATAATTGCCCTTGGGTATTAAATTATCTCAGTGACTTGTACTGTAGTCAGAGATCATAAACCATGGCCTATATAGGCCAAATCCAGCCCATGGCCTGTTTTTGTAAATAAACTTTTTATTAGGACAAAGGCACACACATAAAAAAACCAAGCAAAATAAAAACAAAACAAAAACCAAAGGCACACACATTTGTTTACATGTCATTTAAGGTTGCTTTTACACAACAATGACTAAAGTATTTTCAGTGACTCCTTTGAGGTAAAAATGTGCTAATCTCTTCTTTAGACCATGATTTATGTGGTTCTTCTTAAGGGGAGAGATTGCTGCTCAGAGGCAAAGTTGTAGAGCAATGGTTCTTAAATTTTAGTGTGCATAAAAATCACTTGAGGATCTGCTAGAATGCAAAGCCTGTTTCTGTAGGTTTGGGGTGGGTGGGGCTGAGATTATATATTTCCAGTAAGCTCCTAGATGAAGTTTATGCTTCTGGGTGGAGACCACACTTTGAGTAGCAGGGTTTTAGAGGAGATGGTATAGGATAAGATTAGCCACCCAGGTGAAGTGATAGAACCTGCACTACAGGCAGAAGACCTCAGCTTCTGAGACTTACTGGGATGTAGTGAGGATGGTGGTTGAGGAATCAGCTTCCTAGGTTAGGGAGGACAGGAAGTCAAGGCCTTTTAGACCTGAAAGCTTCTGCTTTTGTGGAGAAATCAGGGGAAAAGTTATTTGTTAGGAGTACTTTGGAGGTTGTTAGGAGTTTAAGGAAAGTAATGAAGATTTTGATAGGTCACTGAGAGCAATGGGAGAGAGAAAAGAGAAGGACCATTTGGTGGCATTTAGGATCCAGAGAAATAGGAAGTCATGCATTCGAATGCCCTGTTTTCAGAAAAGAGAATGTGGATTTTTGGATTCACAGTTGGAGTTTTGCCAGGAATGTGTGACACAGAGGGATATGGATGTCTGGCACACATGGTGGTGGGTCAGATAGCAGTCCATGTGATCAGCACAGGGTAGAGCTATAAGTGAGCTGAAGACTTATGAGAACATCAAGGGATCAAGGTTCCAGAAGTCCTTATGTTTGTACTAGATATAGTTAGACTGAAGGCCTGAGAGCTAGAAGTGTCAAAGAGAGGAATATTAGAGTTAAATTTTCATATATGGTAGAGTTGGGTGATAAGGTCTAGGATGGAAATGGGAAGGTTGAGGAACTATGAGGACAGGCAGTGTAAGGGTCAATTACAGAGACAGTAAAATAACAGAGGGAGGTAATAGGACATGGGAAGGAGACAGTGATCAAACTTTTCAGTACAGACTGAGATGTGGCCTGAGACAGATTGTATGAGTAGAGAAGGTAGAAGAAGGCTAGCTAGATACTTGGATGTCAGGGAAAAAGGGTATTCACACAGAGATGGAGGGACCTTCTTCCTACTGCTTCTGGTTGTTGCTGTCATCTCTGGGGCCCAGCATGTGTAAATGCTGTATCAGAAATAGGGGTCTAGTCAACCCCAGTACCATCAACATTACCCTCCTGGCAAACAAAGCCCATCCTGATTTCCAGTTGACAGTTGGCTTCAAAGGCAATTGAGGACACAGGATTGGTTTTTTGTATTTAGGATCAGGCACTAGCCATCATGGTTTCCACTGATCTCAAAACTTATCTCAGTCTGCTATCTCTCATTTTGTAATATGCAGTGTATTGTTTTCCTACCTTTCAGAAGCTGACATGTGATAATCCATGTGGTCAGATTGTTTGTCATATTATCTTTAAAATGTTTTAAAGATTTTCTGAGATACCAGACCTCTGAGGTTGCTACTTAGAGATAAAATCTCTCTTCAAAAAGTACTATGGAATCTCATTAGTAAAGAGGGGTTAGGAGAGTCCCTGTTTCTTTTTGTATATTGTGTCAATCAGACCTTTCGTTACAGGAACAAAAAGCTGAGAGACACAGTTTAAAGGAGGAAGGATTTACTTTAGCTTATGGTTTCGTTTCAGTCCATAGCTGGCTCCATTGCCATGGCCCTGAGGTAGTGAGGCAGAACATCATGGTACAGGAAAGCAGTTGATGTCATGGCAGCCAGGGGACAGAGAAAGAAGAAGAGGCTGGGGATAAGGTACACCCGTCAAACGCATGCCCCCGTAATCCACAGTTTCCACTGTCTCCAAATGGTCCATTAAATTATTAATCCATCAATGGATGAATCCATTGATCAGGTCAGATGCCTCATGGTGCAGCCATCAAGTATTTGATCCACTAGCTGGGGGTCAAGCCTGGGGAACACTTCATATCCAAACCATAACAACCCCCCAGCCTGTAGTTTCTGTCTCTTTGAAAAGGAGGGTCTTACTACCCCAGGTGCTGGGGTTTAATTCAGTTTCTGCTGTCCTCAGTCACATGCTCTGCCAGTACCTGGGACAGGATATGGGGACCTCCAGGTGATTGTTGTTCAGATGACTGTGTTTCTCTGGTATGTTTCACACAACTTTTCAACATTTCTTTCAGACAAAGGGCCAGTGACCAGCATTCTCCCATCTCAGGTAAACAATTCTCCAGTTATAAACCACCTTCTTTTAGGGAAGAAGATGAAAATGACAAACAGAGCAGCCAAGAATGCAATCATTCATATCCCTGGCCATACAGGAGGCAAAATATCTCCTGTCCCCTACGAAGACCTTAAAACAAAGCTCAACTCTCCATGGCGGACTCACATCCGAGTCCACAAAAAGAATATGCCGAGGACCAAGAGTCATCTGGGCTGTGGGGACACCATAGGGTTGATAGAAGAGCAGAACGAGGGCTGCAAGACTAACAGCGTTGGGGTAGCAGAGGTGTTTTCCTCCGGTTGTACAGCAACAACTCACAGAAAAGATAGCCGCTCTGAAGGCAGCACCGTGAGGACAATTGAAGGACAGTCTCCAGAGCCAGTGTTTGAGGATGCTGACGTCGATGTGGCTGCGGTTCAGGTGAAGTTAGAAGCCTTGGAACTGAGCCAACGGGATGCCACTGCTGAAACTGAGCCCAGTGTACCCCTGCCCTGCCAACAGCATGTCCCAGAGCCACCTGAAGCTCCCAGAGAAAACAGTGTCACCAGCAAACCTCCCCAAGGCAGCCACTCGAAAACTCCCATCTTTAGCCCTTTCCCCAGCGTCAAGCCACTGCGGAAATCAGCTACTGCCAGGAATTTGGGGTTATACGGTCCCACAGAAAGAACCCCAACTGTGCACTTCCCTCAGATGAGCAGGAGCTTCAGCAAATCCAGCCGTGGGAACAGTGGCACCAAGAAACGATGATGTCTCCCAGCAACTTTGTGTCTGGACTCACCTTGACATGGTGGCATAAGGGTTCCACCTGTAACCTTCCACTTTTATTTGTCCAATGAAGACTAGAGAGGTTCAGAGATGAGCAACAGCAGCCCAGTACAACAGAAATTGGCAGTTTTATCAAAGGCGCTAGAGTAGGGCTGTGTTCCCGTGCACTCAATAACTGATAAAGTGGATTCTTGTGACAAAATAAATCTTGTGGTTTTCATGTGTGAAGTTTCACAGTTTTAATCCATTTAAAAAGGACTGCATCTAGACTGTTAAGCCCTCTTCTGTCCTTCTGCTCTGAGGGCCTTTTCAGGATCCCTGTGACAACACCCCAAACCTGCCAATTCTCTGGGTGTTCCTAATCCTCGAGCATGCCCACACCAGCTTGCTAGAACTGAAACTATAAAAAGCAAGTAAGTTTTTTAGTTGCAAAAGACTTCCTGATTTTCTTCTTCTTGCTCTATCGGAAAGGATTGTTTGTGTCTGTGAATTTTCCCTCAGTACTTGTCTCCAGATTGTTTTTTATTCTTATGCAAATGTGTAGAAGAAAAAAATCAAGATAACCTTTCTTTAACTTTCTATTTCTACCTGTGAAATAAAAAAAACCTTTAATCTGTTGAAATTTAGGTTGAGAACCAAATTGAAGTTCATATGCAGAGAACCCAAATGGGATGTACATTGAACAATTACTCTGAACCATTTGCTGACACCACTAAGATTTCCCCAGTTTCATTTTCTTCCCTTGAGAGCATTGATCCTCGGGGGTATGGAAGACTCCACAGGGTCTGCATGAAGCCTGTCATGCTCCACATTTACCTACCAGCTCTCCACGGCAGACACACTGGCCTCTGCTCAGAAGCCAGAACACAGCACCTGCAAATCTGTTACTTGAATTTTGTGCTTTTTTGGTTGGAGTACTTTGTTACTTGAACACTGCCTTTCTCTGGAGAAGGCCCCGGTAACTTTCTAGTTCTCACTCACCCACTCCACTCCTGCCCTGGTCCCAGCAGGTCAGAGATAGCACCTCTTGTCTCTACTATGCATTTGGGAACTCTGAGCCACACAGAGGTGAAGTAGCATATCAGTTATCCAAGGTAAACACTCCCTGTATTCCATGTGACTTAGCTGTGTTTCCTCCAGTGCAATAGGTGGGTTATTGCTGTTGCAGCACAAATTCATCAACTATAGAGCTTTGTACAAACCAAGATTGGGAAGCCATTCACCATACCACCTCCTGACTCAAAGGACCTTTTTCCAGATGGTGCAGAGTCCTGTTATGATGTTTCACAAAACAAGCTCTGTCCTTATCCTGAAATTCTAGTTCATTTTCAAAAAGCTTCATGCACGTGTCCTTTGACTGGAGAAAGGGCTCACTGCTCAGTCCCCACCATCACTGGAATAGATTTTCATCTTCATTTTTGGATCTTGGTAGTGCTTGCAGGAATGTTGATGATGCGGTCAATATTAATTTGAGCTACTTAGTCGGCTAATTCTGAAGCCAAAGTCGTAGTTTTAGAGAGGGCTTTTACTATGAGAGGCATTCATTTTTATAATAAAATAGAACCTGGTTGTGTGGGCTTCTTACAAGAAGGACATATGCAGTGAGAAAAGCCATTTTTACCCCCAAAGGAACCGAAGATGGAAAGTGTGACTAAGTCCTTGCAGTTTTGGCCTTGAGTTCTGTGCCATGTGAAGTTAGCATCTTAACAAGCAGCCACACCCACGGCTTGTTTTCTTGGGAAGGGGGTGGGTGGAGAGTTGGGCTTACTTTGCATTCCACCCCCAGGAGACAGGCCCACCAGGGTTTCTGAAGTTAAGCAAATGACAAGATTTTCTTCCATCTGCTAAACTTTAAATATAAGAATGACTCCACCTCATTATCTTTTCTTCCCCTCATCCCAAATGAGCCTAATAGTCATGTTTCCCCAGAGGGATGCCTGACTTGAGTAGGGAATTGTTCTTTTGGAGTTGCTCACCAGCTCCCCCGGGTGGGGGGCTTGGCTCTGGGAGCTACATTTCCCAGCTGTCAGTGTGGGCAGCACAGGTTGTGCACTGTCTCTTCTCACCCCCTTCTTGAGCAGATGGGTGAGATGGCCCATGATGTCGGGTAAGTCCTGGTTCAAATAACCAAAATGCTAATAGTCCTTTAAGGTAAAAAAGACCTTGTCAGAATCTTAAAAATGCCACGGATTCCTGCTAAGCACTGCCAATAACACGTGCATGCATTGTACTAAGTAATCACAATGTGAGTCTATTTATCCTTGCCTACTTTAGAAAATAAAATCTGCAGTAGCCTCTCCCACACAGCATGTACAAAGGCCAGTAATGGACTTGCTATCTTCCTCATGTATTGGACACTGTATGCAAACACCAGAAGTACTTAACAAGTGGCAGTTTATTTCTAGGTATGTCTGTACTCTCAGCACTTTTTCTGGGAGTCAACTCTGCACCTCAGTCCTCTTTAAAAAGCCTCCAGATGATTTAAACCAAGTTTGTAATGTCTACCTATGGGCTGTTACTGTTTGGAACATTGTATTCCTTTTCTTTCTTTCTTTTTTTTGTCTCTTGTTCTGAAGAATTGTACTGATTACAAAGATATATGCATAAAGATTCTCATTGTTGTAGCAGTTGTGTTATTTTTTGAATACATGCATGCGACACTGCTGTGACATTCCCTTCTTTCCTCTCCCCTTCCCCCATCCACACTTGGTCTCATGAACCAGGGAAACAGCCCAGTAAGCTCCATTTCTCCATTTCCCCCAGTCTGATCACTAGGTTGCAGGCACACTGTGACCTGCCCAGAATGGGCAGAATAGCAGAGAGAGAGAGAGAGAGAGAGAGAGAGAGAGAGAGAGAGAGAGAGAGAGCACATAACTTAACTGTTAGACCTACCATTTTCTTTTGCTTTAATGAAATAGAGTAATGTGTTTTAGCTTCATGATCTTGAGGAGTGTCCACAAGAACCCAGAGCTGTGGCAAGTGTACAGCTGCTACCATCTCCCTTCATAAAAAAAAAAAAAAATCTCTTCCATGGTTTCCAAACTTCTTTGCTGTCTACAGCAGTCTTTTAAAGCAACATTTAAAATATTTTTTCCTGGAACTAGAGAAATGGTTAGATCAAAAAGAATTAACCTAGAAGGATAACACACATGCACAGGAAATTAATGTGAGTCAACTCCCTGTATGGCTATCCTTATCTCAACCAGCAAAAACCCTTGTTCCTTCCTATTATTGCTTATACTCTCTCTACAACAAAATTAGAAATAAGGGCAAAATAGTTTCTGCTGGGTATGGAGGGGGTAGGGAGAGGGAGGGGTTGGTGTGGGTGATAAGAGAGGGGGTGGGGGCAGGGGGGAGAAATGACCCAAGCATTGTATGCACATATGAATGCTAAAAAATTTTTAAAAAATATTTTTTCCTAATTAGAAAAGTAATGCTTGTTTTAAAAAATTTGGAAAACAACTCAAGGGGTCATAGATATTCTGGCATAGATCTTTTGTGTGTGCATGTGTGTATGCACACACTCATCTACAAAAAGATATGCTTGCTTTTTCTTTTGGTGCTGATAGTCCTCCTGTAATCATCGTTAACGTTCCTAAAACCAGCTGGACTTTCTGTAAAAAGTGTGGCGAGCATCATCTTCACAAAGTGAGAGAACAGGAAGGACGAGGATACCCTGTATGCCCAGGGAAAATGGTGTTATGAGAGGAACAGAGTGGCTATGGTGGACAGACCAAGCCAATTTTCCAGAAAAATAGCTAAAACTACAAAGAAAATTTTGCTAAGGCTTGAGTGTGTTGAGCCCAACTGCAGATCTAAGAGGATGTTGGGTACTAACATGCAAGCATTTTGAACTGGGAGGAGATAAGAAGAGAAAGGGGCAAGTGATCAAGTTCTAAGATCCATCTTTTTTTTTTTTAATGAAAATAAAATCATGAGGTCAGTTAAAAAAAAAAAGATATGTTCCACATAAAAGCTTAATCTGAATTTCCAACTCCAACTTCTACATCATTTTCAGTGACTAGTATTCTATTGCTTGTTCTTACCAGAATCACATCAGTAATTTATTGTCAAACAGGGATTCTGGTTGTAGATAGTAGTGGAAAATGTCGTAATAATTATATCTTTGTACCTAGCCTTAATTGTGTTCTTGGGAGCTGTTATGGAGGGTTGCAAGGTCAAAAACACATCCATTTTAAGACACGTGTGTATAGAGACACCCCCCCCCCCTCCAAACTGCCATCCTTAAAGACTGAACTTACACAGTGAATGAGGATGCTTGTTTCTCTACGCCCTGGAAGAGGCAGCAATTTCTTTTCCTTTTCTTTCTTTGTGGGACCACCAGTGTTGCTGGAAGCATTGATAATGTCTGTTTGTATCTCATTGCTGCTGGGGATGTGGGTCATGGTAGAACACTTGCCTAACCTGCACAAGGTCCTGGGTTTGATGGCCAACATAGGAAAAAAATAGAAAAGAAAGTCATATCTCAGTCCTCATGTTTCAGGGAATCATCATGGATGGGGTTTGCTGAGGTTTCTGGTGGGTACCTTTTAACAGATTAGGTAAATCTTTTTTTTTTTTTTTTGCTTGCTAAACGTTTTTTTTAAATTATTAGCAGGTGTTGAATTTTATCAAATTAACCCTGATTACATCTTTTAAGAATGAATTAGTGCTTGAAACTTGGTATCTTGAACTCAAGAAAATCACCATTACCAGGTTTCATCAAAGAATATTACATATTGAAAAGTAATATTAGCTATTTCAGAGTTAGAAATGATAGTAAAAGCTTTAAGTGTGGAATGTTCATTGAAATAGTGAATTTACTAGTGGAACTTTGGAAAGATTGTAAACATCTAAGAATAGGGGAAATGGGTGGATTATGTAAATCCACAGGATGGAAATGCAATAGCCCATGAGTGTTTGTGCCACTGAAAGGAAAATGATACATTATCCACACCAGGTGGTTGATTAAAGTCAGCAAAATCTATAGTCAGAGCCACCAGCAAACAGCTGTGGATGGGAGGCCTTACTGGATGCTGGCTGAACACAGCTGGGTGTATGGTTCTTCCACACACACAAGGCAACTTGTGCTCACTCCACTGAGGACTGTAGGTATTGGATCAGTTTCCAAGCATTGCCCTGCTAGCTACCTCCTCATACTGAGTGTCTTAATCAACTCTGACAAAATACCGTAGACTGGATGGGATGGCTTAAATAAGAGACATTTCTCTCACAGTTCTGGAGGCTGGGAAGTCCCAAGAGCAAGGTGTTGGTTGGTTTGGTGTCTGGTGATGAAGCTTTCTCTGTGCTCAGTGTCAATTACTGGCTGACCTTCAATGTGCTAGGAACTAATATAGCTCCT